TGAGACAATTAGAGAATTTCTGATTTTTGATCATCCTGAAGCATTGAGAAAATATCCTGAGATGTTTTTGATAACCTATGAGCACCCGAAGACCTTTGGAATAATTTCTGAGACACCTGGTATCATCAGCGGACCTCTGAGAGACATTCGTTAAATGTTGAATAGTTAAAGATCTTCAAAATAATAGTTGATCATCCAAAAGTATTGAAAAGATATCCAAAGAATTTTTTGGAGAGCTGATCTGATCAGATCTGATCACCTGAGAATATCTGAAAGACGCAATTTATATTGTTGGATGCCTTCAGAATCAGAGTTCCAACCTATCACCAATCACGATCGTCAAACAGCTGATGCTAGTAACATAGAGGTAACTCTAAGACTAGAAGGTCCCGAAAAAAACGTGCTCAACTTTTTGGCTCAGCTCTGGTATACTATCTTCGGTCCCAAGCTAATCGATTCACCCCTCGAAACATAGGAAAATCCACTAACCCCTCATTTTATCTGCCAAACTTTCATAGCGAATCAAAACAAACATTGTGTAGTACTAGAATTTTGACTAGAATGGGGTACGTTAATCGATTTGCTTGGGAACAATAGGCTAGTCAAGTAGTGAGCCTATTTTGAATCGTTAGTTTCCACCGATTGGTAGTAACGCTTTATACATTCCTATCGATGTGCTCGTCGAAGCTCTCTCGACAGACAAACAGGCATAACACTCGCAAGTTGTTGATCGAACAAGCATTTAACGGACAATTTAAAAGTATCGTAGTTGATACTACCACCACCTGTGGAGCGAATAGAAAATCTTGCGTTTGACGTTTACACACTAAAGCCATCTGGTCAGTGTAGTGCCCACCACAGTGTACTCAACAGATGGCGGTAATATTTTAGCCACGATGTTTTACAGTGAGAAATATTCAAAAAGTGTTATGTCTGTTTGTCTGTGCTCTCTCCATGACCATCCATCTAGTTGACGAACGAAGTAAAAAGCAACTGGTGAATGTCATCTTGGGTGGTGATCCATCACCGATCTGGTCATTCGTGACAATCACGACACTCATCTGCGCTCGTTTTGAAACAGTTGCTGCGATGCTTGCTCGTGTGAGTGTGTTTTGGTGAGTGAGCCCAACAGCTTCTATTTAATGTCGCCTGAGTAGGCATTGTTTTCATTTTACTCTGTCGTTTCACTTTTTCTCATGATCGTACTGCAGAAGTCTTCACTGTTTTCGTTGTGCTTTTCATCATCAGCAGCGAGTGTAACGTTTTGCTTCTGAGCAGCAACCATTACTGGTGATTGTTGTCTGCCATGGCTCTACCTCTCACTGCGTGACAAAACGTTCTGTCAGCGATAGTCGGTTGATGCGTTGAGTGTCATGATATTTTGCATCACTGTTCAGAATAGTACTTATTTAACCTGAAGGCATGAAAAAATATCCTGTGAGTTTCTCTGAATTTCTGTGATCACCTGATGACCTTTGGAATAATAAGAGAACATCTGAGGGATGCGATGTCAATTATTGGACAGCAGATGATCTTCAAAATAATTGATGAACCAGAAAGATTAGCTTTGATTAAACAAACACAAATCGGTTTTCAGAGCTGGTTACTCATGGAGTAACCATGAATCGTTGTATGAGCCGCACCTTTATGGTGGACAGACACTCAGTGAGGAGAAGTAGCCCAACTCGCTTGACTCACGGCTTCCCGGGGAGTAAGAAAAGTTTTGCAAATCGGAAATTTAAATTTTGTTTACTTTTCCAGGATTTTTAGGGTAAGAAACACTATTTGTATACCGTTTCATCAAGGCTTCCCATTCGATTTGATAGTTTACCTTGGCTATCGCTAACAATTTATCACTTCATTCGAGCAGTTAAAATTGCGTTTACTACCACTCGAACTTTGAAATAAAACCTTATTTTGAGATTTTTTCTTTTAGAACCTCGAGAAAAGAAGCCAACACTTCTGGGATTCATAAAAAATTGAAATTAGTTGGTCCAGTTTTGTGAAATCGCTGGTAGAAAGTCACGCCAAAACTGCTTGACAAAGTGGTTAATTCTAACAGTATCTTGACTTCTCCTGCTAGACATCCCTTGTACGGTCAAAGAGATCGATTCAAAATTGAGTATTTGTTCACTCAAAATCGCAAAAACGTAGATCACTCATAAAATTTGTCTCGCTATTGGTCAAAAATCTGCTCAAATATGAGGAAAATCGACGAAAGTTTTACTAAGTCTAGGAGTATACTAATAGACTGAGTGAAGCCTCTATCAATTTTCCTCATATTCGATAAGTACAATGCATATTTAATTTTTTTTTTTTCAAATTGTTCAGGATGTTCCCTACAACATTGCCGAAGGTACCAAACCGATTGCACAAACATTTTCCGAGTAACAGTTTTCTGAAGATAGGCTTAATATTTTTCCATAGGTCCTTTTTTCAAAATTAAGGCTCGATTTAAAATGATGATCTGAAGATGCAAAATGGAATTTTTGGTCATGAGGAACGTCTCTGATAATTTTCAGCCAAATAAAAAATTCCAAAAGTTAATGGACTTGCGAATTCGTCTGGAATCGCTCTGCCTTAAGAAGCTTAACATGTATATTACTGTTAAGCTTACGGCTGTTTAAAATCAACAGATTGAGGTGTTTAAAAGCTGAACAAAGGTTAATGTGGTATATGTACAACAAACTAAAGATGAATTAAAATCGTTGAAAGAACACTTGTTAAGCATCAAATTGTTACCTGGATAGTCACCATTAAGGTTCAGTCATTTCTGTGTATTAATCAAATGGAAGTGGCCCAAAATTGTGGGTGACTCATAATACGGGGATGAGTGTATGAGCCCAATATTAGGGACGTACGGATATTAACCGTATCCAAAAAATTAATTCCACTTGGCAAGGGTCTGCAAAACAACGATCCAATAAAAAATGTAATCTACAAAATTCCTTCTAAAAAGTTAGACAGCATTTCTCTTCTCATTGTGCTTATTTCAATTCACCAAAAAAAATCCTAAAACAGTCACATTCATCCCAACAATTTGTCAACCACCCAACCTTTCGCATTATACTCTCCATAGACTGCCCAAAAGAAGCAACTTCAGCACCATCAGGGAAAAACTCGAACCGAAATGAGTTCTTTTCATAACCCTACTATCCCGCTCTACTGCCTCCGAAAGGACTCTTGAACGACACGATACAACAATGGCGCCCAGCTCTTCTATCTCCTCCGACCCGACCCGAACCCATGGCGCTGAATGGATTTTATTATGTTGTCTTTGTCGGCACAACTAAAACATCCTGTTTTCTGACCGGCCGTCGCATCGAGCGGAGGGCTGTTGAATGGACCACTATCATCATCAGCACTTTGCGCTCAGTCCAGCCAGCCCAGCGTCGGCGTTCCGAGTGAGTGAGTGATGGTTGAAAGGGGAGACGCTATTCTTTGCGGCACTCACACGAGGCGTTTGATGGAAGTTTTCAATTACGTTGAAAATCGGTTCCCATCCAGTGAAAGTTACATCGCCGGAGGCGTCGTTGTCTTCGTTCGGAAAGCGTTATGATGGGTATTCGCCGTCTATCATGCGAAGCGCAGCGCAAGTTCCTCTGGGAAAGTGGAGGGTTTCGTTTTACTTTTACAATATCTGGGACCGGGAATCGTGGAAGAAGCTGCTCGTGGGGGGGGGGGGATGAAAGCGAATCACGTGTGGTTTTCCTCTCTAGGATACGTGTCATATTTGGCTGACGAGTAAACGTGTGAGTGTTTGTGTATGCCTCTACCGAGTCAGAAAATTACATGTGAATGTAGAATAATTCCGAGCATCCCGTGGCAAGAAAATTGGTATCGTGTAACGAAATTAGTTTTCTAACGATGTCAAGGGATGTTCCAAGGGACTCATAAATAAAGTACAGTCGTTAGATGTGGGAAGAGTTGCGTTGACTTCAGCATGTTGAAAATGAAACAGACTTAGTGGTTTTCATCTGTTCCGATGTATGGTAAATTTTTATTTTCATTTGAAAATTATACCAAAGAAAATTACGGAAAACTCGCTACGGTAACATATTCGAAAGTTGGTCCAACCAAACCTTAGCCCCAGCGGCGCCGGTGGTGTAGTGGTAAGCGTAATTGCCTTTCACGCCAAAGGGCCTGGGTTCAATTCCAGTCGGCGTCGCCAGGATTTTCCGATGCATAAATGTTGATGGGTCGATAGGTAGGGTCCAGGTGTGGAAGCTGCCTCCCTGGCGTCGGTAGCATTACGAAAAACAAGATCGACGGAAAGCAAATCAAAGGAAAAAAAACCCTAACCCCTAACAGGTTCCTATCAGTAATCAAATGGACCCGAATGACCGAATTCTTAGGCAATCCCAATCAGGGCTTTATTGTATTCGAATTTGCCCTTATCCAATACTATTCACACTCGCACACATTGAAAGGAGCAGAACGACGTCATCAAACCAATTTGACTGAACTTCTGGGAAAACTGCCTTCTTCAAACAGTGGCGCGTCCCTTGACCCTTTTCCCATTTTCAGGGCTCGACTAAATTCCAAAAGCATCAAATTTAGATTCGATTTATATTCCATCCCACCATCACCTTCACGCATGCCAAAGCGATCTTCTAGCTGTGCACCGTCTTTACAACTACAGCCTCACCGAAAACAGGGGGTGTAAATAAGACGAAAAGTCGTGGCACCACCAAACCACCCCCCGGTTGGATGTCGGTTGCCTGTTGAGCGACCCGAAACGAAATAACGAACGCACACCAACTTTTTTTTTTGTATGCCATCCGTTGTAGGATTTGCATGAATGCATGATGAGAATTTTCCGTTTTCTTTTTCTTTTGCGCATGATGCTGCTGTTATTTATTTTTCCGTCATACTTTTTCCTTTGAGTACAGTTTCATTCCACGACGTCGTCGACGATGTGTATTTGCCGGAAAATTCCACAAGCAACCGTTCTAAATACCTCGTCTTTTTTTTTTGTTCCCGTTCGATCTCCCGCGCAGTTTGCTCACTACAAAGAGGAGATGTACCTGCAGGCCCAGCGGGTGTTCAGCGTGTCCGCCGATCGGCACTACCGGTTGCAGCACGCGGCCACCGAGGAGAAGCCCAAGATAATCGTGCTCACCGTCGTCGTCCAGGAAGCAGAAGGACTCGAAGCGAAGGATGCTAACGGTAAGTGGAAACAAGCTTTTGATCTTTCTAGGCGGCGCGGCTAGTTGAATTAGAAAGCATTTTACCCAGAACACCGCCAGGGCCACTCCGCCACGCGGTGGGATCCTCTTGGGTTGCTTGTTGATCTACTTATTTCTATGGGGTACACACCAAAAAATTCTGAATTTTACTGGCGATGTATACATCCATGCATGCAAACATTCATGCATGTAAACTTCCTTTTCACGTAAATTAGCAACTTGCAAGAAATGTTGCAAACAAAAGTGGACAGTTGCATACAATATATGGGATATTGCATGACATGTCTCATAAATTTACACGATCTATAATCTAAATTTGTATTATATATGTCGCTCCATTTATGTGCATCATAGTAACGGAAATTTACACTACTTTTTTTTAGCTGTGTAGTTTTGAATCTTCTACTCACATTCTACTTACCTTTCAGTTTTGATTGTATAAGTCTACCACAAGACGCACGAGTTTCACAGTTTTTTAACATGAAACATGTGGTAATATGACAAACGATTCCATTGATTTCTATTACAATCTACATAGACAATGAACTAGACCAGCGGTTTATAAGTTTCCGATCCACCAATATTAAATGCAGATGTTCAAGGCCAAAATGATCTTAAAAGCTTCAAAATGAGTGTACCCCATTAGGCATACGGACGTTAGGCATACGGACGTTAGGCATAATGGACGTTAGGCATACTGACGTTAGGCATAATGGACGTTAGGCATAAAGTCATTAGGCATAATTGACGTTAGGCATAATATACGTTAGGCATAATGGACGTTAGGCATAAATACCTTGCTGCTGTGCAACTCTAAAAACCTGTTAGGAGCATGATAACAATGCTTAAATTAGGCTAAGCGTTGAATAAAAAATGATACAAGTTAAACAAACATAGTATATTTAATAAGCACCGTTTGGGATCCATTATTTATCATATCATAAGTGACGTACCTACATATTTACTTAGATCCAAGATTAGTAGCGATAGCGGTTATGTAATCTGGCAATGAAAACTCAGCATAGTTTTGAACTATATCTTGAAATCAATCGCATCTAGAAATAAAAAAAATCACACATTTGTTGTAATATATTCTTACACGCATATTGCAATTGTCAACGAAGAAAAGGTTTTCCTCAAAGAACAGCTCATGAAATAAAGAATGGTGAATTCTGTGATTTTTCATTCAATAACAAAAAAACAGCTAAGGTTGAATAAAATATGATGCCAAAGAACAGCTCATGAAATGAAGAATGGTGAATTCTGTGGTTTTCCATTCAATAACAAAAAAAACATACCTGCTGCTTCCAGAATTTCCTGCCATAGTTTTCGATACAACGATTCTGTTTTTGTTGTCATCAGAATGAATACTAGCGGAACCGTCTGCTGATGTGAGGGAGCGATACTTCCATGAACAGTGATGAGTTGCCGAAACAAACAAGGAACTGTGGCAAACGTACCATCTGTAACCCAATACTGTGCCTGTCCAAGACGTCGCAAGTTTTCATGAATTCCAAAATGGCTTTTTATGGCTCTTTCATTATTGTCACCGAAGTCAGCAATCAATAGACGGTCCCCATTATCATCCTTCTGGAATTCATCGGGTAGATTATGCCTAACGTCCATTGTGCCTAACGTCCTTTATGCCCAACGTCCATTATGCCTATCGTATATTGTGCCTTACGTCCGTATGCCTACCGTCTGTATGCCTAACGACCGTATGCCTAACGTCGTGTACCCCTCCAAAATGGCTTTAAAACGCAAAAAAAAATCTTGGCATTTTAACGGTTTGAAACGCCAAAACAACCCAAAAAATGTGTAGAAAGATAAATTAGCTAGAAACAACAAATTGTGAAAATGTCCTGAAAATACTGAAAGAGGTATTTAAACGCATGAAAACTATCCCAAAAAGTAAAAAAAAACAACTTGAGACCTGCCTTCAACGCCAGAATGACCATATAAACCAAAACAAAAGGCATTAAATCGAGTAAAAGGGCTCACAACGCTTAAATAGCTTTTAAAAAGTCCTGAACATCCTCAAAATAATTTCGAAAGCAGTGGTCCAGAAGAGCAATTTTCAGGAAAAAAAAAAGTGCATGAAGATGAAATTTAATTAATTTAGTGTCTTCAGAGAAGTTCTCAGTTTAAACAAGGCACATCTGATGAAGGGGTCGTCAATAAATTATACTCATTGGGATGCCACTTGATAACTCTGTCTTTCTTGACTGACGATTTTCGATATTGAAATGTTCTACCACATTGTAGAACTCCTCAATTCCATAAACTTATCTGAAGACACAAATTTGCGAGCATATTCATTTCGTTGAGAAATTAAGCATTATATATGGGAGCCCCATTAAAATCGATTTTTTGGCTTAAACTTTTCAAGAAAGTTATTTTATTTAATAAAAACAAAAATTTTTAAAAGACAGCAATACGCTATCTAGTAATCCACAAAAGATACATGGGTTTATTTCTTCAAAACATGATGTAAGTCAAACCTCAAAATGGGGCAAATATTTTCGAAAAACTAATACCGTGATGAGATTCTAAATATTTGGATGAACATGAGAGTGGAGGGGCAATTGTTAGTTACTGCATAGGAGTTTATCAAGTATTGAGATTTTCAGTGCAATTATTGCTTTAAAATCAGTATTTCTTTAGTAACACATCCATTTAAGTTTTTAAAACATTGAATGTTTGGAGAAGTTTTTAATTACATAAAACGGCACCACTGACTCAAGACTGTGCTATTTTTCCAAGCCTGTAAATAAACAATAATAGTAAGAGGATTCCCAAAGAAAAATGTCAACTTTGACATGGTGTTACTGTTTAATGCTCAATGAAAATAATATGCTCGCAAATTTGTGTTTTCAGATAAGTTTATGGAATTGAGGAGTTTTACACTGTTTTAGAACAATTCAAGGTCGAAAATTGTCAGTCAAGAAAGTACCAAATGTTCAAGTGGCGTCCTAATGAGTATAATTTATGGACGACCCCTTCATCAGATGCGCCTTTTTTCAGCTAAAAAGTTCTCTAAAGACACTAAATTTATAAAACTTCATCTTCATGCACTTTTTATTTTTTCCCTGAAATTCACCCTTCTGGACCACTGTGCACTAAAATAATGTTAAAAACGTCAAAACACCAAAAAGTCTTCACTATCTCTAAATAATATCAGAACGACCTAAAGTCCTGCCAATTTACACACTAAGATTTTGTTTCTTTTTTCGGTAAATTTTACCGAAATCAGAACAGCTGAACGTTCGGTAAAACTTTGACCTTTATTTTAAAGGCCATTGAATTTTAAAATAATAACAAAACATGTTCAACCTTGTTTAAATAATCAAATCTTGTCTTTTAAGTGGAGATTTATAGCGAATTCGTTTATTATCGGGGTTAACACCAGTTCCAACCCAGTGCGAAACCAAACTTTTTGTCAGTGTGAACCTCAACCTGAGCTAGGTTATAAAAACAAACGAGCAAACTGACGTTTGTCAGAAAACAAGCAGACCCAATCTTGATACCCGATCCAGGTTGGAACTGAATAATAAACGAATTCGCTATTAGTTTCAAAGTAGCAGAAAAGCAATTGAATTGAATTGCATAAATTTTACCGAAAAGTTCAGCTGTTCAGATTTCGGTAAAAATTACCGAAGTCGGCGATAATTTCAAAGTGTGTAGAATCGGTACGCTTTCAATCGGATGTATCTCAGACTTTGTTTGGTTTAGAACAAAACGTTATTAGAAGAAAACGTTATATATGTATTGTAGTTTAAAGATACATTATGGGTTTTGTCATTTTTATTCCTCTCGAATGAAAATTCAAGCTTTGGGCTTGATACGTGCCATGAACTTCTGCACAAGCTACTGGTGGCGAGGTTGACCTGCATTTTTCCAGTATCTGGCCATTCAAATAGCATCCTTAGCCATTTTTCCGGAGTGTACCCCATTGGGCATAAAAAAGGTAGACATAATGGACGATAGGCATACCAACGTTAGGCATAATGGACGATAGGCATAAAAACTCATGCTGTTAAGTATGTTTTTCATAAACATTCTGCAACTTCAAACTGGGATCTGGAAATTCCGCTTGCATTATGATTATCACAGCCTTCTTCAACATCTAGCTTATGATATCTGTTGGTTCAATAGTTGTCGATAGAGGTATCTGAGAGGCCATTTCCTCCATTAATACATTACCAACTTAAAATTAGAATTTATAAATCCTAGCAGAACGGGGTTGTCCACATACTAATTGTTGAAACTTTAAACAAACACATGTCATCACCTTTAACTATCTGTGTAGTTTGTGGATAGCCTCAATCTACAAATATTTACAAGTCTCCAAGTTTTGATAACTTTTTAAGTCAAAGCTTTTGAAGCTTGAATACTTTTTTATGATTTAAATAATCAAACATTTAGCTAGGAAATTGAGGCCATGAATCCTTGAAGTCTAAAATTTTGAAAATTGAGAAATAATTCAGAATGCATGGATTTTCAAGTTATCAGACAAAACGAAACTTTTCAACATTCTGTACACATAAAAAATCATGACCAAATGTTTGATGATTACAAGATTCTAGAACTGGAAACTTATATTGAGATCTCATGCTTAGATCAATCTTCCTAAACCCAATTTTACGTTACTAAGTTCCTGATGAATGTGGGCGTCTTAGTGGAATACCTGTATAATGAGAGAGAGAAGGATTAGTATTTTCCATTTAATTCCACTACCTTATTTGCTTATCCTTGACAGATACGCGTATTTCGTCTACAATGTGCAGACTTCTTCAGTGTCTTGTACTAGAGTCGAGTATTAGTACAAGACACTGAAGAAGTCTGCACATTGTAGACGAAATACGCGTATCTGTCAAGGATAAGCAAATAAAGTAGTGGAATTAAATGGAAAATACTAATCCTTCTCTCTCTCTCGTTACTAATTTTTCAAAGCATCTGTGACTTGAAGAAATTTCAGAA